TAAGAGGCGACTAAAATGCTGGGAGCAAGGGGCTAGTAACCCCTTCTCCTGTATATATTACTAAATTTGAAAGGAGAAACTTTCGTTTTTCCTTTTGGGCCACCCCGCCTCGGTGGGATACGGCCGGTGTGTTGAAAGAAAGAAAGCTATTAGACTGTGATGCTGTATGACCCTTGTGGGTTAGCACTTGGTTTTGATTATATAATATTAGATTGCATACAGTTGAAGTGCTACAGGTGTTGCAACTGTGGTCTCATCCTCAATATACAAGGCAAATCAGAGACTATAAGATCAAGCCTGTATGAGGGCAGAAGTCAGTACTCTGGCATCTGAATGAATGGATGGTCCTCTACTTAAGCATGATCACAAATCACTGACAGATTCATTGGGGAAAAAGCTGAGCCCCAGTCCTAAGTGACTTGCCCAGATGCTCACAGATTTTGCATTTATGCAAGTACACAGTGCTACCAACTTATTTTTCTTTTTACGCATCAATTTTACAGGCTAAGAGTTGTTACCTGACCTCAGCTCATTTCAAAGCACAGCCCTATCTAAGGCATTCTACCATTCCCTGCGATACAACCAACAACAATCAACTAACACAGAGGTACCTACTAACTGCTAGGCGAACAGAGGAAGCAAGTGTAACAAAACGTGCCCAAAGTTTTTTACCCTTTGTGGAGATCAGTAAGAGAGAAGTGAAAGCTTATAAATTAAAGGAGATAATTAGTGGAGGGAGTAGTAGGTAAATTTGGGGTGCCAGGGGTAAATGAAAATGGGGAGCCTTTAATTGAGCTATGAGTAGAAAGAGGTTTGGTAATAAGTAATACATATTTTATGAAAAAGAGGATAAATAAATTTACAAGGTATGATATAGAATGTAATGAAAGTAGTTTGTTAGATTATGTATTGGTGGATGAAAGGTTGATGGGTAGGCTCCAGGATGTACATGTTTATAGAGGGGCAGCTGATATATCGGATCATTATTTAGTTGTAGCTACAGTTAGAGTAAGAGGTAGATGGAACAAGAGGAAAATGGCAAAAACAAGTAAAAGAGAGAGGTGAAATGTATAAACTAAGGGAGGAGGAAGTTTGGGTGAGATAAAAGAACTATTGGCTGAAAGGTGGGGCTAGTGCAATTATGAGTAGTGGGGGGGGGGGGGGGGTTTGAAGAGGTTTGGAATAGTTTTAAAAATGCAGTATTAGAACATGGGGCAAAAGTTTGTGGTTATAGGAGGGTGGGTGCAGGAGGAAAGAGGAGTGATTGGGTTTGGAATGATGAAGTAAAGGATGTGATAAAGAGAAAAGGTGGGCTTATGAGAAGTTTTTACAAAGCAGAAGTGTTATAAGAAGAGCAGAGTATTTTCTTTCTTTCAACACACCAGCCGTATCCCACCAAGGCAGGGTGGCCCAAAAAGAAAAACAAAAGTTTCTCTTAAATTTAGTAATTTATACGGGAGAAGGGGTTACTAGCCCCTTGCTCCCGGCATTTTAGTCGCCTCTTACAACACGCATGGCTTACGGAGGAAGAATTCTGTTCCACTTCCCCATGAAGATAAGAGGAAATAAACAAGAACAAGAACTAGAAAGAAAATAGAAGAAAACCCAGAGGGGTGTGTATATATATGCTTGTACATGTATGTGTAGTGTGACCTAAGTGCAAGTAGAAGTAGCAAGACATACCTGAAATCTTGCATGTTTATGAGACAGACAAAAGACACCAGCAACCCTACCATCAAGAGCAGAGTATATGGAGAGTAAAAGAAAGGTGAAGAGAATGGTGAGAGAGTGCAAAAGGAGAGCAGATGATAGAGTGGCAGATGCACTGTTAAGAAATTTTAATGAAAATAAGAAAAATTTTTGGAGCTAAACAAGGTAAGAAAGCCTAGGGAACAAATGGATTTGTCAGTTAAAAACAGAGTAGGGGAGTTAGTAGATGGGAAGATGGAGGTATTGGGTAGATGGTGGGAATATTTTGAGGAACTTTTAAATGTCGCTGAAGAAAGGGAGGCAGTAATTTCATGTGTTGGCCAGGGAGGTATACCATCTTTTAGGAGTGAAGAAGGGGAGGATGTGAGTGTGGGGGAGGTGCGTGAGGCATAACATAGAATGAAAGTGGGTAAAGCAGCTGGAACTGACAGGATCATGACAGAAATGTTAAAAGCGGGGAGGATATAGTGTTAGATTGGTTGGTATTGGACTTGAGTCCTGGAAATGGGAAGTACAATGCCTGCACTTTAAAGGAGGGGTTTGGGATATTGGCAGTTTGGAGGGATATGTTGTGTATCTTTATACGTATATGCTTCTAAGCTGTTGTATTCTGAGCACCTCTGCAAAAGCAGTGATAATGTGTGAGTGTGGTGAAAGTGTTGAATGATGATGAAAGTATTTTCTTTTTGGGGATTTTCTTTCTTTTTTGGGTCACCCTGCCTCGGTGGGAGACGGCCGACTTGTTAAAAAAAAAAAAAAAAAAAAAAAGTATGAAGGAGGGGAAGGTACCTAGGGATTGGCAGAGATCATGTATAGTTCCTTTATATAAAGGGAAGGGGGACAAGAGAGATTGTAAAAATTATAGAGGAATTAGTATACTGAGTATAACAGGAAAAGTGTACGGTAGGGTTATTATTGAAAGAATTAGAAGTAAGACAAAATGTAGGATTGCGGGTGAGCAAGGAGGTTTTAGAGTGGGTAGAGGATGTGTAGATCAAGTGTTTACAATGAAGCATATATGTGAACAGTATTTAGATAAAGGAAGGGAAGTTTTCATTGCATTTATGGATTTAGACAAGGCATATGATAGAGTGGATAGAGGAGCAATGTGCCAGATGGTACAAGTATATGCAATAGGTAGTAAGTTACTAAATGCTGTAAAGAGTTTTTATGAGGATAGTGAGGCTCAGGTTAGGGTGTGTAGAAGAGAGAGAGACTACTTCCTGGTAAAAGTAGGTCTTAGACAGGGATGTGTAATGTCACCATGGTTAATATATTTATAGATGGGGTTGTAAAAGAAGAAAATGTGGGTGTTCGGGAGAGGGGGGGGATTAAATTATGGGGAATCAAATACAAAATGGGAATTGACAGTTACTTTTTGTTGATGATACTGTGCTTATGGGAGATTCTAAAGGAAAATTGTAAAGGTTAGTGGATGAGTTTGAGAATGTGTGTAAAGGTAGAAAGTTGAAAGTGAACACAGAAAAGAGTAAGGTGATGAGGGTATCAATGATTTAGATAAAGAAAAATTGGATATCAAATTGGAGAGGAGTATGGAAGAAGTGAATGTTTTCAGATATTTGGGAGTTGATGTGTCAGTGGATGGATTTATGAAGGATGAGGTTCATCATAGAATTGATGAAGGAAAAAAGGTGAGTGGTGCATTGAGGTATATGTGGGGACAAAAAACATTATCTATGGAGGCAAAGAAGGGAATGTATGAAAGTATAGTGGTACCAACACTCTTATATGGGTGTGAAGCTTGGGTTGGAGGCAGTGGAGATGTCCTGTCTAAGAGCAATGCATGGTGTAAATATTATGCAGAAAATTTGGAGTGTGGAAATTAGGAGGTGTGGAGTTAATAAAAGTATTAATCAGAGGGCTGAAGAGGGGTTGTTGAGGTGGTTTGTTCATTTAGAGAGAATGGATCAAAGTAGAATGACATGGAGAGAGTATAAATCTGTAGGGGAAGGAAGGCGGGGTAGGGGTCGTCCTCGAAAAGGTTGGAGGGAGGGGGTAAAGGAGGTTTTGTGGGCGAGGGGCTTGGAATTCCAGCAAGTGTGCGTGAGCATGTTAGATAGGAGAGAATGGAGACGAGTTGTTGGAGTGTGAGCAGGGTAATATTTAGTGAAGGGATTCAGGGAAACCGGTTATTTTTACATAGCTGGACTCGAGTCCTGGAAATGGGAAATACAATGCCCGCACTTTAAAGGAGGGGTTTGGGATATTGGCAGTTTGGAGAGATATGTTGTGTATCTTTATATGTATATGCTTCTAAACTGTTGTATTCTGAGCACCTCTGCAAAAGCAGTGATTATGTGTGAGTAAGGTGAAAGTGTTGAATGATGAAAGTATTTTCTTTTTGGGGATTTTCTTTCTTTTTGGGTCACCCTGCCTCGGTGGGAGATGGCCGACTTGTTAAAAAAAAAAATTAGGGTAAGGTGCAACTGTTGGGAGATAGATGGGCTAGTGAAAGTATAGGTAATGAGGTGGTTAAGAGGTATGTGATTGGTTTAAGAATGTATTGTTAGTGTTTGTAGCAAAAATTTGTGGATATAGGAGGCAAAAATAAAATATTTCCACTACTACTTGCAGTCCTGAAACCAATTCATATCTGCATTCATAAATCTCCTTTTATATAGATACACAGAAAGTACAGTCAATAAATTTTGTCAATCAATCACCATCATTGTTTCAAGCTGAGCAAATTCATTCATGAAAATATTCTTTACTCCTCTGTTCACTATGTCTGACTTGCCTGATATTATTTATGCCCAGGAGACTGTCCAGGAACTTTTTTCCACAACTGTACATGTCTGAACAGTAGTAATGTGAAACATTTGTACCTGTGTGTTTATCTTGCTGTGCAAACATGTTTTGTAAACAATGCATCAATGGCATTATTAGTACAGTTATTGCATTGCATACAACAGGTAGATGTATGTTCATTATGCATGATATTGGTCTCACGGGCCACAAAAGTTACTGGAAAATGTAAAAATATGATAAATCCCCAGGAAAAAAGTACAAAATAATTAAGTAGAAACATGTGGAATGCATGCCAATCACTGACCTTCAACTTCATGCTTCTATATCTTGATAAGTACTGATGGGAAATTTTTTCTTTTTGTTTTATTACCACTAGGAAAATTAACTCTTAATTTATAAGATAAACATTTTTTTTTTAAATTTGGACATTGAGAGCAATTTTAATTTTGAGGGTCAGGATAGTGAAAGGGTTAAAAAAGAGATATAGAGGTATTAATATAGGAACTTGGCAGAGGAGTCACCTGGAAGATTATATTGATGTTATAGATGACAGCATTGACACCAGCCAACTGCTGAAAGACCATGAGGGCCAAGGTGATCAAGAGTGGCTTGAGAATGTAAGGGGTAGACAGGTCACTCAGTGTTACCTTCACATCTGAAGAATCTTTTAAAGACTTCTTCAGCTCCTCCATCTCCTGCTGGATATCATATGACTTACCTAAAAAGAAGTGAAATGTGTCAGGTGATACAGTCTTACTGGGGACAGCCTCAAATACAAGAGAATACCACTTTACAGCACTTCGCTTTACAGTGTTTTGCTAATGCAGAGGTTTTCAATTATATCCATTCTTTACTTATTCAAGACTTCCTACAATAAATATATTCACTACTCACTATAAGCTAGGGATGAAAATATTTTAAGGTAAGTAATGCGTGGAGACAAAGAACTTTGTCTGTGGAAATAAAGAGGGGAATGTATGAGAGTATAGTTATACCAACACTCTTATATGGGTGTGAAGCATGGGCAATGAATGTTGCAACAAGGAGAAGGTTGGAGGCAGTGGAGATGTCATGTCTGAGGCCAATGTATGGTGTGAATATAATGCAAAGAATTCGTAGTTTGGAAACTAGGAGGAGGTGCGGGATTACCAAAACTATTATCCAGAGGGCTGAGGAAGGGTTATTGAGGTGGTTCGGACATGAATAGAGGATGGAACAAAATAGAATGACTTCAAGAGCGTATAAATCTGTAGTGGAGAGAATGCAGGGTAGGGGTCGGCCTAGGAAAAGTTGGAGGGAGGAGGTAAAGGAAGTTTTGTGTGTAAGGGGCTTGGACTTCCAGCAAGCATGCATGAGCATATTTGAGAGGAGTGAATGGAGACAAATGGCTTTTAGGACTTGACGTGTTGTTGGAGTGTGAGCAGGATAACATTTCTGAAGGGATTCAGGGAAACCGGAAGGCCGGACTTGAGTCCTGGAGATGGGAAGTACAGTGTCTGCACTCTGAAGGAGGGGTGTTAATATTGCAGTTTTATAACTGTAATGTAAGCATGCCTCTTGCAAGACAGCGATGGAGTGAATGATGATGAAAGTTTTTCTCTTTCGGGCCACCCTGCCTAAGTGGGAAACGGCCAGTGTGTTAATAATAACAATAAATAAATAATGTGCATACTGTACATGCATTTTTTAGGCCTAGCTCTATTGCTCACTTAAAAGAGGAGTGTTAATACGTCATGGCATCAGTGAATCCCTGGTGTTTGCCACGCTGTTTGCTCTAGCTGGGGCTGAATTGAACTGGTGCTCCCGCAAGGTACTAAGTGGTCCCAGATTTTTTTAAGACTGCGCACACCGAGTGTTAAGACCCATTCTATACTGACCAGGCATCTCAGGACAATCATGCCAAATTTGAAGGCAGGAAAACAAAACATTGATCAACGTTTGGAGCACTAGCAGTAACAACACAGATTTATGTTTGGACAGTTTAAGGGTTAATATATGATAGTCCAAATATGTTATAAGGCTTTTATATGCATTTGAAAGTGAAAAAAAGGCTGTTTCACTTTACAATGATTTTTGCTTTACAGCAGTAGCTTGGAACTTAACCTGCTGTATAAGCAGGGCCTGCCTGTACACTGCCAAACTAGATCACCTTTCCCAAGAGAGGAGTGCTGAGTGACCATTATAGATTTAGCCCTATTTTGCAAATTTGATACAAAAAAATGAAATTTTTGATAATAATAAAAAGAATAAAAATGTAACAGTACTGTAAAGGAAAAGAAGAAAAAGAAAAGACGAAGAGCCCAAAAAAAAACAAAAAGACAAGCATCAGCAGTGACCAAAAAAAAGGCAAAGCAAAGCAGCATCAACAAAATATTGTAGACAGAAGAGACAGCAGTGGCAGCAACAGCTTTCACAGCAGTAGTAGTAATAAATAGTAATGGAAGCAGCAGTGTAGTAGTAGTAATGGAAGCAGCAGTGGAGGTGGTAGTAGTAGTAACTGAAGCAGAAGCAGTTGGAGGCAGTGGCAGCAAGAAAAAGCAGCAGCAGCAGCAGCAGTGGCGGCAGCAGCAGTAGTAGTATTTGTAGTAATGAGGTAGTAGAAGTAGTACTGGAACTACAGTCTAATTGTGGAAATAATAGGAAATGTGGTATTAGTGAAAGAAATTTGTAGTAGTAGTGAGAATAGCAGTAGTACATAAAAGTGCAAGAACAGGAGATCTACTGCAGGAGATCTACTGCAGGAGATCTACTGAGCCATGCTGGGCAAGAACTGTGACAATGAATTACAGCACATCTCAAGGCAGTGGAGATAAAGCACAGTATATGAACACTAATACCTGTCCTCAAAGGGAAAAGCAGAGAACGGTAGATGGTCTACTCACACAAGTTAGAAAAGAAAAGGAAGCAAGACAGAGAAAAGCCAGAAGACAGGAAAGGCAAAAGAAATACTGCAGAAAACACATCAAGAGGAAAGTGGAAGGGGCAGTAAAGGTTATTTCAAGTCATGAGTGTCCTGAAGATTAGAGCATCTGACAATGTATTAAGGAATAAAAACATTTACAGAAATAAAGCCAGAACTAAGATTCCTGTTATGAAAGTTATATTTGAGGGCTGATTTAGCAAGACGGCATCTGTGAGGGCTACAAGATGGGGAGATAGCTTTCCGGAGGATCGGTTAATTTGGATGGCTGTGATCTTTAACATGACAAAAAAAAACATTGTTGGTACTGGAGAGGAAAAGAAGAACAGGAAATGGAGCAGACACCAGAAACATCAGTGACAGGAAAAGAAGTATGAACTAAATTATTATGAAGAGCATTTGTTTGACAAAAAAACAAAATGTCTGATATCTAGAGGATGTAGAATGTTGTCAAGATTCGAAGATTGGAAATATAGGGTAGGCATGAGAGTAGCCAAAGTTTATGAAATGGGAGGACAGCCAAGGTGAGAGCAGTTTTTGAAGAGTAGAAAATTTCAGAATTGAGAAATTGAGGGTCAAAGATTTTTAGGGCAGAGGGAAGATCTGCTATGAAACTTTATGAAGTATAAATTCAGGGACCTAAACCACAGGGGCCCCAGAAGCGACTTTAGTTCACATTGCTTAAAAATTTTGCGTCTATTCTATGAGAAGGGGGTTGTGAAGGGACCCACATAACAGTTCAAGCTTCAGGGTCCTAAAAATGTAGGTCTGCTGCTCTCCATAGGGCAAGAAGAATGTGTGAAACAAGAGCACTTTTCTTGACAATAGGAACATGGTAAGAAAAGTAGTTGAATTTCTACTCTTTGCAGCTTGTTCTATCATCTTGCCCATCCTTCTAATTTCATGAACTCTGCCTACTCTCATGGTAAACTGTATTTCTTTTCTCTACTGCTACTATCCTTAGGCTAGGACATACTGTGATTGTATTGGACAAAGTGATCCCACTGTGTAAAGGAGGTTTTGCATGTGAAGTACTTGTACTTCTAGCATGCATGCATGAGGATGTTGGATAGGAGTGAGTGGAGACAAATGGTTTTTGATTTGACGTGCTGTTGGAGTGTGAAAAAAGCAACATTTATGAGGGGGTTCAGGGAAACCGGTAGCCGGACTTCAGTCCTGGAGGTGGGGGGTACATTGCCTGCACTCTGGAAGGGTGTTGATATGTTGCAGTTTTTTAATTGTAATGTAGGTGTGCCTCTGGCAAGACAGTGATGGAGTGAATGAAAGTTTAATATGTTTATTATGCACCCCATACCCATTCTCTGTGGGCGGTAGTCAAACAATTACAGAGGTACATAATGGGTTCAGGGACTGGGCCCCAAAATTATGATAGCTGAATAACAAAAAAAGGCACAATACCGTGACTGGAACGATACACAAATAACCCGCACATAAAAGAGAGAAGCTTACCATACCCATGTCTGGCTTCTGACACAAGCATGCCACAATTTATATTTAATGTGTTGAGAGCATTTATGGATGACAGAGAATCTGTTATAATTAAAGTGTAAACATTGGATACATGGATGCATTTAAGTGCAATGAGTATGGCAACCAGTTCTGTTTGAAGGGTAGAGGCCCAGTTATTGATGCGTGCTCCAATTTCTTTATGAGAGCCATCACTCTGTATGACAACAGCAATGCTACCAGCTGCACCAGTGGATTAGTGAACAGAACCATTAATATAAATAATTTATGAGAGTGTTCTGTGTAACAAAGTTATCAATACAGCTTAAGGCATCCTGTTTGGCTCCAAGACGAAGCTTTGGTTGTGATTTAAGAAGAGTTTTGGGGGAAATGGAGGAATGGCAGTTTGGAATGGGTTAATATCCCATGGAGCAAGGAAGTGCTTCTGTTGCCTAACTTGACATAGATCATGTAGCTGGTTCATGCGGAGATCAGTTCCAGTTTTTTTGATCCATCTAGAAGGATGTTCACCAGTGCCGAGGAAAGTTTGGAGGGCTTCTGTGCAGGGGTTTGAATGGGTTAGCCTAAGCATATTGACCCCAATGAGGATATTTCTTTCAGTAACAGCAACACGATCTTTGATAGTGAATGATAGTGAAAATGCTTCTTCATTTTCAAGTCACTCTGCCTTGGTGGGAAGTGGCAAATGTGTTAATAAAAAAAAAAATATATATATATATAATTTTTCAATGTATGAGGCCTGGTCTGAGAACAGGGTGACTTGTCTACAACTAGGGATAATACTCGAGACCTCTTCACCGCAAATGGCAACATGGATTACGACTGGTCAACACCCAAAGGTATAGCCCAGGAATTCAGTCCTCAACAACGACCCGACTCCATTGATAAAATTCTACAGGAAAATAGTATGCTAAGACGGCAAAACAAAACCTATGAAAAACTCACTGGGGACCTAGAGTGCTCTCTAGATACCCAAAACACGAGAATTAAAGACCTCGAATGTCATCTTACGACACAAAACTCAAAGATTAGTGAACTAGAAAACAAACTGATATCATTAATAAGAACAAGCAAACCTACATTCAACTATAGACACACATACTGAACAAATAAATTCCCTCACCACCAAGCTGTCAGAAGCTACACAAGACTGGAAGTTAAACATGGAATCCCAGTGGAATGCATGCTTCCAGTATCAAAGGGATATGACTGAACAAGACAAGCTCATAGACTCTTGTCATTTTAACCAGATCTACCTTACCACTAGATACAAACAATGAGAATTGCACCATCAAAACACTCCAACTAATAAAAGATGAGATAAAAGTTAACATTAAAACCAGTGATATCAAGGAGGCCCGACTGCTAGGCAAGTCGGGTCAACAACAAAGTGTCAGGTTAAAATTCAATTCCATTGATGTAAAAAATGATCTAATAAGTTCCTCCATCAAGAAATGGAGTAATGTGTATATAAATGAGTGCCTAACTAATAAATGTCAGAACCTATTATAGAGACTTCAAAAACTTAAGCATGATAATGCATCAATAAAACAGTGCTTTACTCATGATGGCATTATCGTGGTAAAATTATCAGACATGGGTCGTAGATTTGAAATAACAAATGATCATGAACTAGCATGTTTCCTCTCATTCACTGGTTTGACTGAACCTTGTTAAGCCATATCTCAACACATTATCAACCATGTTCAGTGCTGTAGTATAGTAGAATTTACCCTTATTCTAATCCATATTTTCATGACTGTTAGTGAATAACGGTAATTAATTCCCAGCTACTCAAGACACCTAAGGTGCTATTCAAGGTGCTAATCTAGGTACTTAAGTGTTTTATTCTCTGTCTTATTCTATACTTGAAACCATTACTTTTAACTTTGAAATAATCAAGGTGCTAAAGTGTTTTATTTTAATATTCGGTAGCTCCATTATTTTTTAGATTTAAATTAACTATCTTAGTTCATAAGTTCATAATTGTTAGTGGCTTAACATAATTGCTTTTGTCTATTTTTGTTCTTTAATAATTGTAACAGCTATTTCTCTACGTACCCCTTATGAATGCAATTATCGATCCTGATATCAACCTCTTATTGAACAGCACACACAATCCTAACAGTAATTGCCATTACTACACTGCTAGTCAGGCTAATACCCTTCTCAGTGTCAGCAAGAACATTACAGTCTTCAACTACAATGTTAGATCATTGAGTAAACACTATGATGACCTCACTGCACTACTTAAGTCTCTAAATGCTACTATAACTCTCATTATACTTACTGAAACCTGGCTAAGACAAGATCTGACAGACATATTTACCATATCTGGTTACACAGTCATACATAACTGCATGCCCATGATCTGGAACTCGCTACCGGAACAGATCAAGGATCCCCAGAGAGCTTATAAATTTAGGACTCTGCTAAAAAATCATCTTATCTCAAAATATTAACCAAATCAACCAAACATCTACTGACTAGTTTTATCATGTGACCATAACATTGTATTAATCGCATCTGCTAGAAAAATGACAGGATGGATAATGAGAACCTTCAAAACTAGGGATGCCAAGCCCATGATGACACTCTTCAGGTCGCTTGTTCTATCTAGGCTGGAATATTGCTGCACACTAACAGCCACCCTGCCTTGGTGGGAATCGGCCAGTGTGATAAAAAAAAAAAAAAAAAAAACTAACAGCACCTTTCAAGGCAGGTGAAATTGCTGACCTAGAAAATGTACAGAGAACCTTCACGGCACGCATAACGGAAATAAAACACCTCAATTACTGGGAGCGGCTTGAAGTTCCCGAACCTGTACTCCCTGGAACACAGGCGAGAGATATACATGATTATATACACCTGGAAAATCCTAGAGGGACTAGTACCGAAAATTGCCCCACAAAAATCACTCACAATGAAAGCAAAAGACTCGGCAGACGATGCAACATCCCCCCAATGAAAAGCAGGGGTGTCACTAGCATGTTAAGAGACAATACAATAAGTGTCAGGGGCCCAAGACTGTTCAACTGCCTCCCAGCATACATAAGGGGGATTACCAATAGATCCCTGGCTGTCTTCAAGCAGGCACTGGACAAGCACCTAAAGTTGGTACCTGACCAGCCAGGCTGTGGCTCGTATGTTGGATTGCGTGCAGCCAGCAGAACAGCCTGGTTGATCAAGCTCTGATCCACCCGGAGGCCTGGTCACAGACCGGGCCGTGGGGGCGTTGACCCCCGGAACTCTCTCCAGGTAAACTCCAGGTAATACCTGGCTTTTAATTCTGCCATTCCATAAAATATTACCACCTACACCATTCCTTGTAAATTAGATTTTGTACTAAGTATATTTTTATTATTTTTTTTTTTATTATCACACCGGCCGATTCCCACCAAGGCAGGGTGGCCCGAAAAAGAAAACTTTCCCCATCATTCACTCCATCACTGTCTTTGCCAAAAGGGGGTGCTTTACACTACAGTTTTTAAACTGCAACATTAACACCCCTCCTTCAGAGTGCAGGCACTGTACTTCCCATCTCCGGGACTCAAGTCCGGCCTCCCGGTTTTCCCTGAATCCCTTCATAAATGTTACTTTGCTCACACCCCAACAGACGTCAAGTATTAAAAACCATTTGTCTCCATTCACTCCTATCAAACACGCTCATGCAGCCTGCTGGAAGTCCAAGCCCCTCGCACACAAAACCTCCTTTACCCCCTCCCCTCCAAACCCTTCCTGGGCCCGACCCCTACCCCCCCTTTCCTTCCACTACAGACTGAACACTCTTGAAGTCATTCTATTTCGCTCCATTCTCTCTACATGTCCGAACCACCTCAACAACCCTTTCCTCAGCCCTCTGGACAACAGTTTTGGTAATCCCGCACCTCCTCCTAACTTCCAAACTACGAATTCTCTGCATTATATTCACACCACACATTGCCCTCAGACATGACATCTCCACTGCCTCCAGCCTTCTCCTCGCTGCAACATTCATCACCCACGCTTCACACCCATATAAGAGCGTTGGTAAAACTATACTCTCATACATTCCCCTCTTTGCCTCCAAGGACAAAGTTCTCTGTCTCCACAGACTCCTAAGTGCACCACTCACTCTTTTTCCCTCATCAAGTATACATAAGATTTATTAAGTCCAAATAAGATTGTAAAACAGCTAACCACTATTCCATGTTAAGTTTTAAGTATAATTACTATGTACTATTCTCTTATCTTTGTGCTTGGCAAATCAAAATTGTAATAGCACATTGTAACATTTACAAAGAAATAAACTTATTATTATTATTATTAAAACCATTAACAGATAACATAAAAGTGTTTCCTAACCTCGGAAGTATTGCATAGACTGCCTTGCTTGCATCTCCTTGCCCTTAGACAAAAGGTAGTGGGGTGACTCCTTAAGGAAGGCAGCCATCAGAAGAAACACAAAGCCAAGAGCACCACACACCACAGTCAGTAACCTCCAAGAATCCATCGCCCACCCGAAGATATAAGCATACAAGATGCCCACTGTAATGAATAACTGGAACCCTGTACCTGAAATATAGTAGGAGACATGAGTTCCTCAGCCTAAGACCTAGCAGAGTGAACACTCACACCTAATCTATGTCAGTGACTGGCTTTTCCCTTCCTGCTTCTTCCATATCTGTACACAAAATCTGGAATGTAGAAACAAAAAAAAGGAATCAATGCAAGTATCCCAATCTGTATACCTAGAGGGAAGAAGATGACAAGGATAACTTAGTTAATATGTTTCTAGTCAAATGCTAATTGATCATCAAGACTACAAGTCATAGGCACACTAATATCATGAAGTACAGTAAACTATGTATGTATGTATGTATGTATGTATGTACATGTATGTATGTATGTATGTATGTATGTATGTATGTATGTATGTATGTATGTATGTATGTATGCATGCATGCATGTATGTATGTATGTATGCATGCATGCATGTATGTATGTGTGTATATATATATACACACATACATACATAATATATATATATATATATATATATATATATATATATATATATATATATATATATATATATATATATTATATATACATTTTTTTTTTTCAACAAGTCGGCCGTCTCCCACCGAGGCAGGGTGACCCAAAAAAGGAAGAAAATCCCCAAAAAGAAAATACTTTCATTATCATTCAACACTTTCAGCACACTCACACATTATCACTGTTTTTGCAGAGGTGCTCAGAATACAACAGTTTAGAAGCATATACGTATAAAGATACACAACATATCCCTCCAAACTGCCAATATCCCAAAACCCCTCCTTTAAAGTGCAGGCATTGTACTTCCCATTTCCAGGACTCAAGTCCGACTATATGAAAATAACTGGTTTCCCTGAATCCCTTCACTAAATATTACCCTGCTCACACTCCAACAGATCGTCAGGTCCCAAGTATCATTTGTCTCCATTCACTCCTATCTAACACGCTCATGCACGCTTGCTGGAAATCCAAGCCCCTAGCCCACAAAACCTCCTTTACCCCCTCTTTCCAACCCTTTCGAGGACGACCCCTACCCCTCCTTCCTTCCCCTATAGATTTATATGCTTTCCATGTCATTCTACTTTGATCCATTCTCTCTAAATGACCAAACCACCTCAACAACCCCTCTTCTTCTTGTTCTTCAAGATTCTCCTTTGTATGGACTGATGAAGCCACTGTGTGGTGAAACGTTTCCTCAATAAGATACCCAAGAGTTGCACATGTCTAATTTATCAACCCCTCTTCTGCCCTCTGACTAATGCTTTTATTAACTCCACACCTTCTCTTAATTTCCACACTCCGAATTTTCTGCATAATATTTACACCACACATTGCCCTTAGACAGGACATCTCCACTGCCTCCAACCGTCTCCTCGCTGCTGCATTTACCACCCAAGCTTCACATCCATATAAGAGTGTTGGTACTACTATACTTTCATACATTCCCTTCTTTGCCTCCATAGATAACGTTTTTTGACTCCACATATCCT